AAACTCACAGAGATCTGCCTGCCTGCGTCTCCTAAGGTATGCACCAACAAGCCTGATAATCGTTGCTTCTTGTTAGACATAAACATTTCTCTTATCTATCCCATCTTTCTCTTCATTTCTTCTTGCATTCTTGCTTCTTTGCACTCTCTCTCCATCAAATTTCTCTCTACTTTTTTGATGGTTGTTATTTGAGAAATGGTCTCACTATAACCCTAGATGGGCTTGAACTCACTTTGTAGACCTGACTGGCCTTGAACTCACAGAGATACACCTGCATCTGCCTCCCAAGAGCTAGTATTAAAGTGGTATACCACTGATCCTAGCTTCTTAATTGTTATTTTAGATTTATTTACTTTATTTTATGTATATGGGTGTTTTGCCTACATGTATACATGTGCACCAAATGCATTCCTAGTGCCCATGGAAGCCCAAAAAGGGTGTTGAATCCTCCAGAATTGGAGTCACATGAGCAACTATGTGAGTGCTGGGTCCTGGACAGGGCAGCCAGTGCTCTTTGCTGCTATGTCATCTCTCTAGCCCCTTCATCCATATTCCATTCCATTTTAATAAGCCACTGTCTCTCAGTACCTTGGTGGCACACACTGCTTTCAAGCATCCTGTGGGTCCCATTTTTTAAAGGGATTTGTTCTTCACCTCATGTCAAATATCTTACTTCATCTCAACCCAGCTTCCCTGCTTTCCCATACCTTTCCTTACTCTTGATTTTATAAACAGAGCATCCCAGATAGACTTTGTATTAAGCGACAAAACTAGCAGAAGGAGAAACTGGAGGGATAAGGACCTAGCAGAACAGCAAATTATATCAGCAGCCAATGCTGACATTCTCATGTGCCTTGGATAAGAAAAGGACAGAAGTTCTCAGGTAAGATGGAAAGATACAATACACAGTATTTGTGATTAGTCAACATACGCTGGGTGAACCTTGTAAGCAGATGAGTCACAAAAGAAGAATAATGGCCAATAATAGTATGGAAGGATGCTTGGCCTTATAAGGAACCGGGAAAGTTTTTGCCTGCATCCAAAAAGATGAATACTGAGTCATGATGGTGGTAGTATAAGGGAACACTCTCAGACAATGCTAGAAATGAAGTAAGCCGACAGGTTTTCTGCAGCTGTCTAGCAACATACATCTACACTTTAAACATCTACAGTTAGCCGGGTAGTGGTGGTGCACGCCTTTAATCCCAGCACTAAGGAGGCAGAGGTAGGCGGATCTCTGAGTTTGAGGTCAGTCTAGTCTACAGAGTGAGTTCCAGGACAGCCAGGGCAACACAGAGAACCTGTCTTGAAAAATAAACAAACAAAAAGTAAACATCTACAGTTTGTTATCTCAAAACTCCTACATGTAGGATTTAGTACAAGAAAATAATCAAATGAAGAAACAAAGGTGTGGATTTGAAATCACTGATCATTTCTGCCTTGTTTGTAAGCAAAAACCAAGGTAGGACTGTGGAAGAGGAAAAGAGGTTTGTGTCTATTGGGGGAAATTCTTCACCACTACATAATCAACTATGGTACAACCATATCATGCATATATTAAGAGGAATGACAGTTCTTTACTATGGTCAGGACACAGAACAGCAAGTGTAGTCTGATCCTTTTTACCTAAAATGATGTCTAAAGACATGTGCAATGAAGATGGTCAGATAAGTTCTCTTCGGTGAACTCCTCTGGGAGGTTTAATCTCTACTTTAGGCATTTCTGGTTTGTTACTTTTTTATTATTTTCTAGAAATACAGAACATAATAAAAATGGTACAGAACTCAGAAAAACTTGTGTACTTTTCTGTAAGAAAGAACTAACACAGAAACAAATTAAATAAATGCAATGTGTGGTGGGTTGAAGGAGATGTCCCCCCCCCATATTCTCGGGCACTTGAATACATCGTCCTCAATTGGTGACCCTGTTTGGGCAGATATGGAAAGTGTGGCCTTGCCAAAAGCATATCATTGAGGGCAGGTTTTGAGAGCTTAAGCTCTGTGCCATTTCGGTTTGCTCTGTTTCCTGCCTGTGGTTTAAGCTGTGAGCTGCCAGCTCTCAGTTTGCTGCTCCAGCTGCAGGGCCTGCCCATTGCCACACTCACTATTCTATCACCGTGGTAATGGACTCTTCTTAGTCCTCTGGAACTACAAGTTGCCTTGCTCATCGTGCTGAAGCACAGGACTAGAACCCACAGACACAGTGATACCACCTGACTTTTAGAATACAGCAGCAGTCTATTCTTCATGAGATAAATTTGAACTGCTTGCTAAACATTCAATTCTGTAAGCCTTTTGTGTAAGCTTAGTATAGTGGCATACACCTGTAGCTCCAGCACTTGAGAGATTGATGCAGGAGGATTCCCCCCACAAATTTAAAACCAGTCTTGGACTACATAGTGATTTTGAGGCCAGCCTGGGCTGAATAGTAAGATCCTGTATGAAAAACAAAACAAAACAAAAAGTTCAGTTGCATAAACCTATTCTGAAAAGACATTGGAATTAGGCTATGAATGCGGATCTCTCTGTCCAGCTAGTTTTTTTAAACCTGCTGTGTCTGTTTTTGTTGTTTGTGTGAATATGGTTTCAGAGATGACCAATATGAATTGGAGAAGCAATTAGGGGAATCGTGGCTAGTAGTGGTTAAATCTTTTTCTCCCAGAAATCATTAGTTGCCTGTAGTTCTTTGTCTAGGAGTGGGACATTGAGTAATTTCCCCTTTCCATATTAATATGTCCATTGATAATAAAATTTTTCTGGTCTTGTTCATGCAGCCCTTTCTAGGAGAGATTGATTCACAGTAGATTTCCTGATATTGTATCTCTTACAGTCTTTCTGCCCCTCTTCATTAATATTCCCAGAGTTGTAGATGCAGGAGCTCTGATCTGCCCAGCTATTTTTTCAATCTTTAGATTTATTTATTTTTTCATTTTGTGTGTACAAGTATTTTGCCTGCATGTAGGTCTGTGAACCACACACATACAGTGTCCACGGAGGCCAGAAGAGAGCATTAGGTGCCCTGGAACTAGAGTTGCAGCAGATTATGAACATTCATGTGGATGCTGGGAACTGAACTGTTCTCTGGAACAGTTTCCAATGCTCTTAACCACTGGCTCATCTCTCCAGCAACCCTTCTCCTATTTTTGATACATCTTAGATTTATCTAGACATATCACAAAGGCTTTCTCCAAGACATTCATCAAACCAAAACATTTTTCATCAAGAAACACGTCATCATTGAAGATGCTAAAAGATTACTGCCTAAATTCAGGATCTCCCTAAAGCAGCCTTGAGATGGGAACTTGAGAATGTCTTTTATTTGGCTGTGGGCAAAGTGAGATGGAGCTGGAGGAAAGAAAAATATGAGGCTTGTTAAGAAATGGGTAGTATGACAGACTAAACTAGGTCACTCTGGAAACCTTCTGAAAAACTTTCTAGAAAGAATTACAGAACTGTCCACTGACATCAAGGAGTCATGGGGCATTATCCTCATCACACAAAGTATCAGGGCTGGTCCTAAAACTCTTCAGCCTTGAAAATATGAGCCTTGGGTGCATATCAAGGTGTCTGGGTCAGACAGAGTGGAATTTGCAGTATGTTTATCAGCTATCCAAAGCTTTCCAATCCCATGCAGTACATACTGGCCTTACTTTAAAGACAGAGACTCTGAGGCACACAAAGATTAGCTCACTCTGTGAAAAACAAACAGGTAAAAAGCAGCTAAGGTGAACTCTAAATACACTGAGAGATGCACAACATTTCCATTCTCAGTCCTTGCAAGGGAAAGACACTGACACAGCTATCTACATTATTTTAATCTTCTTGCATCCATAGCAAAGTCTTCTAGTTTCTAATCTTATAAGCAAGCAAAATTTTCATAACATCATCAGCCATGGCTACTCTTACCCTAGAGACAAGTCACTATGAAATTATGCCAAAATTTGGATCAAAGTATGGGGGAAATTTTTATCTGATGAACTCATTGCAGAGAATCGGTTTCATAGAGAGTTCCAGATTTGAGTATATTAAAACCTAATCTATAACTATACTATGAGGAGAGTACTTTATTAGAATAAGCGAAACATCCTGAGCACTGCCAGGACACTGAGATCATGCTAATGTGAGAGCCAATGGGACTCTTTGCTTTAGCAGAAAGGGTAATAATCCACACATCACTAGCAGCCAAGTCTGCTTTGCTTTAAACTGCACACAGACTGAGAAAACATTTCAAGACATCATATTGATAGTTCACCTACATACATCAGTGGAAAGGCTCTTGCAGCTCCCCAAATGACATCTGAGACAGTGCTGTCTATGCTGTCACCTGTCCTGAAGCAAAGGCATGTCTCTTAGGTTTTGTTCCTTAGCTTTCCTAGGACACAGCCTACCTCACAGGAAGCAGGGAAAAAGGCAATCCTCTCTGACACCCCTCAGCCCCAAGGCAGCTGTTGACCCAAAAAAAATTCCCAGAAACTCCAGAGGAGCCCCTAACCCTAACCCTAACCCACAAGGACCCTAGCCCTAGACCCTCCACCCAACCATTTAAAGTCTTCTGCACTTAATAGTAAGAACACGGGGATAAACTGCTATAGAAGGTTCTGGCTAGGTGCTGAACACTGAGCTCTGACCCTGAAGAACCACACAGTGTCTCAGAAAGATGCCAGTGATCTTATTAACAAATTACCATAACACAGAGGACAAGACCGCAGCCAAGCACACCATGGGCTGCCTGGAGTTGAGGCATTTTTATTCTCTTAGTAAAGCAGAGCTTCATAACTCTTGTTCTTCAGCAGTGTGGGCAAGTCTCCAGACACATATGCTATGTATTTGTCTGGGAGTGTTCCTGCCCAAGAATATCACAGCAACATAAAAAGTTGCATGGCAAGGAAAACTGCCAGGTCTGTCTGCTCTTTTGCCTGACACACAGAGGCCTTTGCAGTAGAGACATATCCTGGCTCCAACAGGAAAGGGGAGGGCTTGGGTGGGAAGGTGGCACTTCACCTGGAACACTGGGCTGGAAGACTTTATTCAGATCCAAGGAGGAGGCTCTGGAATGGGTTTTCTGTGGCCGCGGTGGTGGGGTGGGAGGGTTTTCACCCCTTTTCATGGTCTCTTCTATGGAGGTGCTAGAGTAAGATCTGTAGCAAAATAAGGGAAGGTCAGAAGGAAAGAGTGGATCTTTATTCCCTTAAGCTTGGTTGAAGTAGAAAATAACCCAAAGTCAAAATGAATGTGGAGAACAGAAAGGCTGCCAAAAAGCAACTAAAAATACTACTGTTTCTTAAATGTCTCTGTGTATGAAAATTGTCCAAACTCAGCCATGATTGGGATCTTTTGCCCTTATTTTGCCATAGGCCTAAATTTATACTCTAACCAAAAATGTTTTGTATAAATTCAAATCCGTTTCTGTTATAGTTGCTATTAAGAATTATGTGTAAGCCTTTCAGCTTGCATGAAGCCCTTTGGGGAAAGGGCTTCATGCTATTAACCTAGGTAAAAACGTGGGTTTACTTCTAATGTGATGGCAAGCACATATGGAATGGGGACAGCTATGCTTTGACTAAGAACTCAAATGCAAGGGTTATGCCACAAATGACACCAAGGAAAGAGAAACACATCAATCAGCTTCAATGGGTTAGCTAGCCTTGCCCTGAGAAATAAGGGTTTTGTGGAAATTTTCAATGCAAAGGCTTAATTTTAACCTTCTTTAAAGTGTAACAAGCAATAAGGCACAGCTAACTTGGTGACTTCTGACATTATAATAATGACATTTAAAGAAAATGGAAGAAAAGATAGAATGCTGCAAACTCTAGTCTCTTTCTGTTCCAATTTTTAAGATGTTTGAGTGGTCATGAAGCAAAGAAGAAATATTTCTGCAGTAGCAGCTAGGATATTTAGGGGCAACCTACTTATTTTGTGTATTACTTTAACTCCATGCTTTGGTCTCATGCTATGGACAGGAAAAGCATGGAGGAAGTGGATGTGTTCATCTCTTCTACACAGATTCTCAGCTGACTTCATGTCAAAGCAGAAAATGACCCCTGAATCACAGATACATCTGACAAAGAAATTAGCTTCAGGAAACTGGCTTCTGTGTTTAGCTATTACAATAGTTCTTCCTGAATTACAGTTGATCAATGGCTATTAAACCCCTGTGCTTGGGTAAAGTTGTTTTTGACAAATCAGTTTTGTTTGCTCTTAACTTTTATTAAGCTTGTTCTTTGACCTCTTCATACACGTATAAAGTGCATCAGATTACTACAACCCCCTCTCTAATTTCCCTCTCATTCCTATTATCCCTGCTTCCTCCCAAGTCTCCTTTCCACATTCATGAGGCTTATGGGGGTTGTTGTTTTGTTTTGCTTCTTTGTTTACAAGACCCACTGTGATTTATGTGTGTGGCTGTGAGCTTGGAAGCATCTACTGGTGTCTGGTGAACTCTGGTGCGTACACAACTACACACAATGACTGCTCCTCCTTCAGAACTCATCAGTCATCAATAGTTGAGCAGAGAAGGGCAGGGCCCCATAAGGTTCAATTCATAACTAACTGTTGTTAGACAACATTTCCAAAACCAAAAAAGTTTCTCAAGGTCTCTCTGTGGTGGCTAAAGGTTTTCTTTGTGTTGCAAGGACACAATCTTAATACAATCTTAAAACAACCATAATAATGGTATGAGGCATGCTCTTGTGTTGGTCTTAGTACCACATCTGGCCAGATAGATGAGGTAAACATAGGCAAGAACAAAAGGGAAAATTGCCTAACACTGTCAAACAGAATCAAAGGGAATCAACATAGTAAGATAACCAAGTTTTTAAAGAACTACTGCTCTGTAAAGAAAGTTGGAGTCCCTAGCTAGAAATTTAAGAAAAAAACTTTTGTATGCCACATACAGCTTTGGGTAAATATTATCACTTCTATATCCCAAAACTAGTACAGACTAATATATAAAGGATCTGCCAATTTTTAAAAAACCCAGAGAGTAAATATCGTCACCTTAGAGAGAGTGAGCATACTTTTCTTCCTACTCAAATGAATTTTTGTTAAAAAATTATGTAGGAACACAGGTATCTGTGGTTTATATGGACAAGAGAACAAAACCTCAATTCTTTGATTTATATTGAGACACTATGTCATTAAATTTCAAGAGCATAAAATGTGATAAAGTTTAAATCCACTTTTGGGGGATGGGGATAGAGAAGCTGAGGCTGAAGGAGGAAAAAAGTCAGAAAGAGTTAAAGCAGAACAACAACAACAACGAAAAAACACGTGGTAGACTACCTTCCACTGCAGCTCTGCTGCCTAAAAGTGGCAGCAACAATTCTTGACTGACTCTGTATCTCTGTATTTCCCCTCTGCTCCTCCCTTCCAAGTCCGATAACAGCCACAACTCTGCTTTCTTGGTTCTTCCTCTCTCATTCATGGCTATTTTAAAAATGTGAAGCTAAGAAGAGGCACTAAGAATGGTTCAAAGACACCCTAAGTAATGCTTACCTGAAGCCCAGCATCTCCTTGAATTCACCATAATTCCCTTCTCTAGATTTTATGTCCCAGACTTCTTACTGTTTTGGTGTTCAACTTCACAGAAACTTTAGTTGTTACCTTTTAACCCTATTTGCCTCCTACCAAAGCTATACTCCCTATGACTTATCCTATGCCAAATCAGTCATTTTACACAAACGACTTCCTGTCAGGGATCCAGATAACAAGAGCCACCATCTTGTAGCACTAAGGCCCACAAAGGCTAAGAGGCTTCCCAGCATTACTGTATCATCAAAGCAGGCCGCTCACAAGGAGTGAAATAGCCTGTGTCTTTAGATTCAAGTCTAAAGGCAAAGCAGACAGTGATTTGGATGAGCATGTGGGGTTCTGAGGCAGGGACAGGGCACAAAAGGCATCAAAGAAGAAATTAAATAAACACTACCTGGATCTTGGTCTTGCTTTGAGACTGTTGCAGTCCTTAGAAGCTGCTGAAACAAAAGATCATTTGTTGGTTGCTTGGGTTTTCAGTTCTCAGTTAATCAGAGTGGTAAGTAGCAGCTGGGCTAGTACAGAACACAGCAACAAGTAAAACTGAGGTCGATGTATCCATGTGGATAATTCACGGGCTTCCATGCTTCGATTATTCTCTGATTTTACTTTTAAAGCTAAAGGCGCAATGAATAGGAAAGAAATCCAGTATGCTTTCTTTCATTGAGACATTGACAGGCCATTCTCAAATCTAAACGGATTAATGGAAACATTCCAAGATAAAAAGACAACCCACTTATGAGGTTATCTTTTTATATAATGGTAGATTCCCATACAAGGGTTTCTTGGTCTCTCATGATAGTCTAGTAATAGACTTAAAGTCAGTACGCCATGAAGGTTATATCTAGCTAAATATTTTATTTAAATATATATTACCAGAGTTTGATGTAGTGACTAATACCTGGAATTGGGATTCTAGAATCAGAGGCAGGATGATTGGCACAAATTCAGGCCAGCTTTGTCTACATATTGAGTTCTAGGCCAACCAAGGCTAATTAATGAGACCCTATGCCAAAAAAGTGTGTGTGTGTGTGTGTGTGTGTGTGTGTGTGTGTGTGTGTGTGTGTGTGTGTATAGAGCACTATGGTCACAAGAAAGCTGAGCTCTTACAAAATAGTTAAAAGAAGTTGTAAAGCTTTTTCTATAAGAAAATATCCATAGCCAGGTATGGTTGTTCAGGCTTATAATCACTGCACTCAGGAAGCTGAGTCAGAGACATCACCAGGACTTTGAGAGCAACCTGGGCAAACAGTAAGTTCCAGAATAGCCTGGCTAAGCTACAGAGTGAGACCCTATCTCAAAAAGCTCCCTCCGTTAAAAAAAAAAAAGAAAGAGAAAGTATTCTTGTTTCCCTGTCTTTGTGACCAAGTCAGACAAATACTATGGAATGAAATCATTAAAACATACTTCAACCATACTTTCTCTCATCAAACCTATATCAGAAGCTAATGTGCTCACTACCAATACCCACGGAGCCCACTTTCCCATCAGAAGTTGTGAGAAGTAATTAGAAACACTTACAAAAACATCAGTCCCCTTTTTGTGTTTCCAGTCATCGTGGAAAGTGCCTTTAGAAGCTCATAGCTCTGCTATGATTTTGCAAACACTGCAAGTTTTCATCATAAAAGTTCACAGAAAGAGCGCTGCTTATGGGGAGAATATAATTTGTTTCTTTGTTTCACATATCTATCAGAAAGCAAGTGTCTTGCTACACTATTCCATCCTTATTTACACTGCTCCAAAGATAAAAGCCTTCTCTGATAGAAAGCAGCCTAGACTGATGATGATCATTAAAACCCTTGGATTAGACAAGCAAGGCAGAAAGAAGAGCTGAAAATTCTCATAAATGCCAACAAGGCACAAAACAAACTCCCAAGAGAGCGAGCCTCTTCTTACATGTGGTCAACTGCATAAAAAAGAGCCATTTCTCCTGACCTAAGCATTTTGGCTTGCTGCAGTGAGAAAAGGCATGTTTCAGCTTCCAACTGAAACGCTGCCATCACCCCCTCCCCACCAATAGAAGTATGGAAAAGCCAAAGAGATAGAGACTCTCCTTGTTCATATCACGCCCCCATGACTGGACAAAAAAGAACCAGTATCTTCCTACCTCCTACCAACTCCAGGCAGCAAAGAAAGGCAAGCTATATGGGGTCTCCCATCTCTCTCAGCCAAAGACATTGCCCTAGAGCTAGGAAGCCAGTGTGTGGCCGGACTCACAACAGTGCTGGAGGCAGGCCTCTGAGCAGGCCCGCCACTGCTCCTCTGTGCTCGTCTTCAGGTCTCAGTTTTCCAGAAATATGTGAGTAGCCAAAGTCCTAGCCATGTTAAAACAGTGTTTCCCACGCTACCAGACCATGGTAACAGTTCGTTCCTTTGTCATTTGTCTTTATCTTTGTGCTGGTGCAGAGATGGGTGTGGAAGGAATGGTGAGGTCTGCCAATGAGAGATAGACAGACAGATGGAGTAGGGCTGTGGATGAGCAACGGCCAAAGGAACAGGGAGCAGGTTGGGGGTCCAGAGGCCTCAGGTGCTCCTCCTAGCCATGTCACTCAACTGCTGAGCTTGCCTTTCCTCACCTACTAAGCAAGTCCCTTCCTCATGGGGATAAATAGAAACCTGGAGTCCTAGGAAAAGTGGATGTCCTACAGAACTGCAAAGTGTTCCTTTTATAGAGACATAAATTAACACTCCTAATATTCTAGGCCTGAAAATCTAGATTCTGAATTTAGTTCCTTACAGGATTGAGCAGGTCGTGGAAGGGGAAACTAAGAACCATGAGGTGGTCACTGGCAATGGAACACCATCTAGAACTGCCCACCGCAGTCTGGAGACTACACTGAGCAGGAATACCTTGTCATGACCCAAAAACAAGTTGAAAACTACAGCTGTGCACCATGTGTGGTTGAATTAGGCTAGACTGGAACATGGGGCACGAAACCTCTTAAGACTCCACTAATACATATCCATTCAACAACTAATAGATTAAGAGTATGTGGGACTGTTTAACAAGGAGTCTCCATTCGCTGATGACTTGGTACCCCTCGTCTATCACCCCCATATCATCTTCACCATTATCATTGTTATCACCACCATGTATACTAAGCAGAACAGACACATGCTTTTCCCTCTATCTGCAAAGATGTATTCAAGGCACAGCTTAGCAGCGGACTAGGATTCAGACAACAAAAGCCTCAACAGTACTAGTGTAGTTAAGTCTTCCATCCACTACCCATACAACCCGACTCAGCTTCCCGGAGATACTCATACCTCATGAGTATCTGCACAAATGACAAAGCCACACTGTGTTGCAAGCTCAAGCAAAAGCCAATGGATGGATCACAGCTTCTCATTTAGATGGAGAGAGGGGAAAATGACAACTTCCTGAAACAATCCAGGCATGCCATCTTTCCAGGAAATGAAAAAAGGAAGAGGACATAGACCTAATGATTGACCTTCTAAAAGGCTGCAAAAGAACTGAGAAAACTGTCTCCAGTACACTGACTACCATTCAAAATTATAATTACCCCCTTGTGACTCTCCTGTCTCCCAGGGGAAGGCTGTGGTATCTTCCAAAGAAACCAGCTATAAAACGTTTGAGATGACTTATTGAATCACAACCACAAGGGGGCAGCAGTGGGAAAAATAAATCAAAAAACACACAGCCATGTTCCCAGGCCATGTGTAACAAATTTAGATATATTTCATGTGCTGTGGCACACCTGTTAGGTTTTATCTGGTGGTGCCAAGTCCTAGTCAAAGAATGTTAAAAATGAGAACGGAGGCTCATGCCTCAGAGAACACTTGATCTCATGCTGAAATCTCTGGAACAAAAAGATTTAGGATCCTCAAAGCCTATAGGAGAAGCATTAATTTCACCCTCCTAATTGCAATCGCTTTTACTAATACCGTGCCACGAAATTTACAAAACCTGCAAAGCATCCACCATAACATCGGAAATCAGAATCGCTAAGAATTGGCCACAGGTGTCTGGACTATACAAACAGCACATTTCCCCTGTGATGAGTGGATCCAAATGTTTCAAAGGTCAAAATCAGGCTTAAGAATTCCCACAGATTTGAGTCATGATTGATTTACCATCCTGATTTCATATTTCACAGCACCACTTTTTTTAGAGGTAGTGGTTTCCAAACAAGCTGCATAACAGAATCACCTGGGGTAGGATGGGGGGGCTGATTTCTCTTGTCCAGTCCATTCTATCTCCTCCTTCCTCTTTTTCCATCCTACTCTTCCTTTTAAACTTCAAATGGCCTTAGTGTTGGGAAACACATTTATTACAGCATAAATTTCAGCAAGCTACTGAATTCTCTGTTGCAACTTTAAACAAATAAGCTAAGGATGATAGGTAGCCAATCATAAGAAACATTATTTTCATATGCAAGAGCAATAATAATAATAAAGAAAGCAGAAACTTCATTCAAATCCTCATAACCAAAGATCTAAATAAGAATGCTGTCTGGATCCACTTGATCTTTAACATGGTTCATCTTGCTTCGGTGATGGCTCCATTCGGAGAACTAAAGGGGGTTGGCTAGAGAGATGGTTCAGCAGTTAAGAGGCCGTACTGTTCTTGCAGAGGGCCTAGGTTCAGTTCCAAGCACCCATATAGCAGCTCACAATCATCCTCAATTTCAGTTCCAGGAGATCCAAAACCTCTTATTGAACTCCATGGGCACTGCACACCTAAGGAGCGCGCATATGCACGCGCACGCACTCGTGCACAAATACACACACACACACACAATTAAATAAATGGATAAACAGATAGATAGATAGATAGATAGACAGACAGATAGACAGACAGACAGACAGACAGACAAGAGGTTTTTAAAAAGAGAGCCGAAAACCCAGGCCCAGACATTGTGTATGGTTTCCCAGTCACATTTTTGCTTCTCCAAGAAATGGACCAGCACAACTTCTACTTTTCTTCTCCTTGGAATCTACTCCATGCTTAACCAGGAGCTTCCTGGTAGGGAAGGAGTAGAAAGATATTTAAGATTAACACTTTGGTACTGGAAAATCCTAACTCTGGGCCTCAGGTTAATTCATCTTATGAGCTCCTTACTTTACAAAGAAAGCACAGGAGTTTATGTGAATTCACTGAAATTCCAAGGTGTCCTAATGTTATACTTCTAAATTCAAACTGAGTGAAATCTAAAGTCAGCCTCTTCTGAAGAGAGGGAAATGGTAGAACATCTAAGGCTTCCTGTAACAAAACACAAGCCAAAGATCTAGAGACATAGACACACTATCACAGACAACCATCTTCAAGTCACCAAACAGCTGAGGCTTTTCAACTTAGAAAGTATTAGACAGAGAGTACATTAAAATGGTTTTCTCCTACCTGTATCCTCAGCCACGTCCTTTGGTGAGGGTTCATTAGCAGTACTGTTCAAAGCTAGTAGTATTTTGTTCCATGTTTAAGGAAGAAGAAAGAGAAAGGAGAAGAAAAAGAAAACAAAAGCCTTGTAAAATTTGATTTCTGGTATACAAGACATTAAAACAAATAATCCCTATCCATCAGTTACAAAAGTGTTACAACCCTCTAGAAGTTGCTATAGCATTCTAGAGTAAACCTCATAGAGAATGGAAACAGGGTCTCCACCTACAGAAGGAAAGTCTATTTTCAACTTTCTAAAGAGACAGCCACTAGTGGTTAGGAGGGGTATTAGCAAAGAGCATCCCAAATTTCTCTCACTTTCCTTCCTAACAGCCAAATCAATGATGAGACAATGTTTGGGATTTAAACCCAAGCTTCAATATTCTTAGAGCTTTGCAGCCAAGGCAAAGATTCACAAGTTAGGAAAGTGATCAACAGCAGATAATGCCTAGTTCCACTTGAATCTCCTAAACAAACATTTAAATAGAAAGCAAGAGATCATCAGTGCTTAATGGAAGCCTTCTTTTTCATGTTTAATGTCTCTGTGAAGCTGAATTAATGGCAGGGCTCAACAATAAAACCTGAAATGGCTGCCCTTCAGACAGGTTTCTCCCAATTGTGAGTGGTGAATTGATGTAGCAGATGGAATACTGGCTTAAGACAGAAAATCTTGGTTCCTGTCCCAGTTCTTTTTCTTCTTGTACAAGTAGATGATTCATACTGCCTGCCTGAGCTCAGTTGCTTATTTATAAATGTTAAAAGCACTAGTTTTGTGAGGTCTGTAAACAGACGGTATATGAGGAAGGACCTGGTAAATTACAAAAGGATCATACAGAGTACAGGGTTCAGAGGAGAAGGTCCTGCCTGCACTTCTGGATATTGCAGGAAATTAATTCCCATGTCTGAGGGTATCTCTATTACTGGACACTATGCTGCATGCCTTCTCAACTACCCAGTAAAACAAGGATATTGATACCAGGCTCCATATCACAACTCCATAACCACTGGACCAAGAAGAAGTACATAAAGCTTTAGGATTAACACACTGTCTGAAAGAACTTATTCGTGGATGAGACCTGTATGCAAATGTACATTTATGGTGGTTTACTTTTCAAATCATTTATGCCAACACTAGATATTAATCTTCCAATTCTTTTCATTTCGTAACTATGGGACCAGAATCCAATGTAAGGTGTCCAAGTACCCTAAGATTAACAATGTCCAATGAATTAAGGTGACTCAGAAACTGAAGCTCATACTACCATCTTTGTGAATTACAGGCTTCTGACAACAGTTTAAACTACACAATCTATCCAAATGAGTGTACTTTCTGAGAAATAGATGAGGAAATATAGGAAGGTACACTTATAAGAATAAAACCAATTCTTTTCATACCTTGTTTGTCATCACCAGTAGTCACATCTTGGGTAGGAACAGGAAAGTCAGCCATGTCTTTAACAGATGTCTTCTTGGAAAAGAAAATAATTATTTGGTTTGAAATAAAAATTAAGTGATAAGCACACATGAATATGTTTTAAAGGTTATAGTTCATGTCAGCATTTATGTCTTCAGTAAGTGCTGACATTTAATACTATTTTATCAATTTGGTTTCCTGATGAAGTATAAGTTAACTTGCACTAAAATATTTATATACATAGATGAAAGAAATAACTTTGGGAAACGTGGAGATTCAAATTAAGGTATATTATCGAATCTTACATTAAATTTGAATCTTCAGTAGGATTCAACCAGAGGTTTTTGTGGTTTCTTTTACATTTGTCCAGTTAGCCATCACCAACCTAGCCTTTATAAACTTTTTCACAAACAGAGAACATATAGTGGGAATATCTGCCAGGATCTGTTATATAGTGGATGTTCAGCCTCCTTGTGGTAGAAATTAAAGTTACTGATGGGCAAATAAAAAATGTCCCCGAAAGTTGGGCACAGTGGCACACACCTTTAATTCCAGTACATGGGAGGCAAAGGCAGGCAGATCTCTGTGAGTTTGATGCCAGCCTGGTCTACAGCTCGAGTTTCAGGACAGCCAGGGCTGTATAGAGAGATCCTACCTCAAAAAATATTCCTAACTCATAGATAAGTAAAATTCTCAGCATACTAATAAGTTGAATACACAAACTGATCACATATGAATTGTTTTAAAATAGTGTAAAGTTTGCTAATTATAAATTTATTTCCAATAAACTCAACAAATATATATTCTAACTATAGCAATATACAGTATGCTTAAAATTTTCCCAAAGAGCAGATCTTAAATCTCCACTGAAACCAAGCCATTGTGTGAGGTGGTAGGGGAACTATAGCTTTGACTGTGGTAATGATTTCACAATGTGTGTATGCTCTATACATGTATCAAAAACTCATAAACTTGTGCGATTATGTGGGTCTACCTCAAAACTGGAAAATATGTACTCTAAGGCCTCTGCTGTGATTAGAGGATAATATATATTCATATTTTGCTATGTTTATATGCAAGTTCTGTAAAGGTATCTAAGAATGGAAGAATGGCTAGGTAGGTGGAGAAAGAAGTGACAGGATAACTTGACACCAAATGCACTTTGGTATTACATACATTTTAAACATATTTAAAACTTAAGAGATCAATTTTAAAATGCAAAGGACGGCATTAAATTCATAGACCAATTTGGTGTTCAATGGTGAACTTTAATTTGCATCTCAGAACTCAAACAATCACAGAGATAACCCATGCTTCTGGTTTACAATTGTTCCAAAATAAAAGGTTACAGTACTACTTGGCAGGAACTTAATCAAAGGTCTAACAATCCACATGTAGGTGACTCTTTTGGTGTTAATATTGCTTTTATGGACCGGTGATGGTACACACCTTTAATCCCAGCACTCAGAAGGCAGAGGCAGATGGATCTCTGTGAGTTTGATGCCAGTCTGGTCTACAAAGTGAGTTCCAGGACAGCCAAGGTTAAACAGAGAAACCTTGTCTTGAAAAACAAAAAACAAATAGTTTTTACAACATAATGTAGCATATATTAACTCATTTTAAAGTAAAAAGACTTTATGTATAACTGCAGAGAAATGACTACAAGACAGATCCTATATCTACTGAGTTATGTGATAAACTAGAAAGTATTTTCTGTGTAGAAAATGACAAAAATTATAACATTTCCCAGGCTATACCAATAAGTCCATTTAAACCAAATAGTAGCTGAATTAAACATTCATGGATATTGTTTACATTCTAGGATGCAGAAGAAACTTTTGCTGCATTTCTTGAAATAGCCATGTTTTACTTTGTGTACATGAAGTTCCAAGCAATCTTTCCCTTCATTTTTATTTTTTGAGAAGTTCACATAAGGGCTGTGTTTATATCATTTCTACCACATGCTCTCCTCCTCCAACTCCTCGTATGTCCTCTCACTCCTTTCAAATTCATGACTTCTTGTTCTTTCATAATTATTTATGAACATATGGATATGTGGGTATATGATGCAGCCTGCTAAGTCCATCTAGAATTGCTTGTATGTACATGTGTTTAAAGCTGAGAACTTGGTACTGGATAACCTATCAGGAATCTTGTCCCTAGAGAAGACATGTCCCTCTCTTAGCAGTCATTCATTTCCTGTAGCTCTTCATCTAGAAATAAGCCAATGATAACACCAGTTTACATTACAATGTGAAAGGAGGAAATCTCACAAGGCCCTCTCCTTGATTTATGCAGTATCATTTTTCTGTAGGCTAATCCATTGTCCACATCTACATTTTAATCATTCCTTCTGAAAGGGCAGCTAACATGCCCTTAAATCTGCTTGGCATGGCAAGCGTTCCTATCCTAATAGGTGATTCTCCACGCTACAATGAAACACCCAGAAATCATTTCCTATTCATCAGCTCCAGTAAGCTATCGAAGTCTTTTTTTATACAGTGATGGGGATTGAACCTAGAGTCTCATAGCATTCTAGGAAAGTGACCATGCTACCGAACTATATCCCCAACCTGTTTTTCTGTTTTTCTTTTGAGGCAAGGTCTCATTAAGTTTCAGTCTTAAAATCACTCCATAGCCCAGAATAGTCTTGAGCTTATAATCCTCCAGTCTTAACATAGCAAACAGCTAGCAATACAAATGCGACCAGACAGTAGTGCATTGCTTTTATTGCCTTCTCCTTCCCAGACCACACTAGAGAAGAAAATGGTCTAGGAACAAAAAATGCAGATAAGAATAAATAAAAATTACTGAAAATCTTACTGAAGCTATAGCTCAGTGGTAAAACACTTGCTCAAAACACCAAAAACAAACAAAAAGCAATGGACACAAGATTTTAATAGCTATTTCACCCAAGAAAATACATAAATGGCTAGCAAGCACATGAAGAAATGGTCAACACCACTAACCATTTTCAAACTGAAACTAGAAGATATACTTGCATCCCATTAGGATGTTTAAAATGAGAGTGGCAGGAACAAGGTTTAGCAGGGATATGAAGAAACTGGAGCCCTCAGACATTGCAAGAAATAAGCAGTTGCTTTGGGAAGCAGTTTTGTGGTTCCTCAGAAGTTTAGCACAGCTATGGTACCATCCAACAATTCCACTAGTAAATGTATTGAAAAGAGAACCAATAATATTTGTCCACACAAAAATTTACACATGTGGGTTCATAATTGCCAAAACATGCAACAAGGAGAACTCAACAAAATATGGCATAGTCATACAATGAATACTGTTCAGCACAAAAAAATGAATGAAGCACCCTCAAAACACTATACCAAGTGAAAACGACACTCACAAACCAGACATACACTATTATCCTATTTATAGGAAATGCTGCTCACAATAGACTAATCCAGAAACAGAAAGACTAGTGGGAGCCAGGGAGATGGATCAGTGGGTAAAATCGCTTGTTGCCAAGTCTGAAGACCCCAATTCACTCCTCAGACCCCACATTGTAAAAACAAACAACCAACTGCAAGCTGACCTCTGACCTCCATGCTGAGGTCATGGTATGTGCACCTACCCTAAATAAAATAAGACATTTGACCAGTGATCATCAGAAAATGGTGGCAGGAAGTATAGCAAATGGGTGCTAATGAAAACAGGTTCTTTTGGTTGTTTTTTCCAAGACAGGGTTTCTCTGTATTGCTTTGGAGGCTGTCCTGGAACTCGCTCTGCAGACCAGGCTGGCCTCGAACTCACAGAGATCTGCCTGCCTCTGCCTCCCAATTGCTGGGATTAAAGGTGGGCGCCGCCACCAACGCCCGACAAAACCCAGGATTTTAATTAAGAATGATAAAATGGTCTGTGCCTATACTCCAGGGACGAGGTAGGCTTTTTAGTGCTACAAACAAACACCCATACTCTGTAAGTAAGTCCTCACCTGTTTTCTTGTATGGAACCCCAGCAAACGCACTACTTCACTAAAAACTTCTATGATTACATTAGCTTAATGGTTGAACTGTGTGCTTTCAATTGGCATGGTATGGTATTTCTGAATAAATATATTTTAAAAAGAAAAATTCAGTTATCTAAGATACTGACATGGAATATACCTGAAACTATAATCCATGATTTTTTAAATTTTTATTTAAATTTGTGCATAGGTGCTTTGCCTGTATGTATGTCTATGTGAGGGTGTTGAATCCTGGAGTTATGGAACTGGAGAGATGGCTAAGAGGTTAAAAGTACTGACTGCTCTTCCAGAGGACATGGATTCAATTCCCAACAACCACATGGTAGCTCACAACCATCTATAAGGGGGTCTGATGCCCTCTTCTGGCCTGCAGGTAGAACACTATATACATAGCAAATAAATCTTTAAAAAATAAAAATTCTTAAGTAAAAAATTGCCATCATAGTAAGCGTAATAGTGATAATGATGACTATGCCAATAACAATACAATAACCATACCAATTCGTATTAATTAAACCAAAGCTAAAGATCGCTGAGCACAGGGATAAGCCTTCCATTAATGGTTCAAGACCATGGGAATTTGCCAAATTTCTTTGGGAGAATCACCCAAATCCATCCTCAATTAGTTTAAAGTTTAAAAACCCTGAGGTGTCTTTAAATGTGATTTAGGGCCCTTTACACACTTCTCAAACCTCTTTTCAAATTTTTTCAGATTTGTTATACTTTACTAATGCTCAGCAATTAAAACTCCAACTTAAATTATTTACTAATGGACTGCAGAAATGGCTCAAACGTTAAGAGCACTGTCTGTTCTTGCAGAGGACCTGGGTTCAATTCCCAACACGCACATGGCAGTTTGAAGTTGTCTGTAACTCCAGTCTAAGAGAGTTACAGACACTCTTCTGGCCTTTATAGCCACCAGACACACACATGGTGCACAGACATGCATACAGGTAAAACAGCTATACACACAAAATAAACAAATTTTTAAAATGTATTTACTAGGGACTTAAAGCCTAGTTAAAGCAAACAACTTGCCTAGCATTATCGCCCTTTGTTTGCTACACACAATTTCCCATCCAGAAGGTGATGTTGGTAGTATTTCACACACTCTACTTTTATGAAGAAAAAGAATTATACACATTATTTGGAGTGATTTGAAAGGCCAATCCTCAAATGAAGCATGAAAAGAAAATCCTATAAAAGCTCATTTTCCAGCATTTGTGAAGATATAAACTATGATTTACTTCTGCATACATTTTGATTAACATAGGAAAGGTTTTGTTTTGTTTTGCTTTGCTTTGTTTCTATATTTTACCTCCATCCGATTCAAGTCACAGGGCTGTTGGTTTGCTGGCATTGACTCAGAATAAGAATCAAATATTGTACACTCCCACTTGGATTTTGGGAAAGCTAGTAAAGAAGAAAAAGAACATATAAGAATATTTACTATAGCCATAGTGGAATTGCTTAGCTGTTAATATAACACAAAAGTCAGTTTGCTAATATGCACTACCTAAATCCCTAGATGTAGTGAAACAGCATTTGAAGGTCCTTACAAACACAGTCTAGTATTGCCATTCCCATTTCATACATGCTGAAACTGAGGGACAGGGAAGGTAAACAACTTACTCAAGGGCATACAGCCAGTTAGTGACTGGCAGACAGTCCAGCAGAGGAGTTCTTGCTCTTGGACATGAATGTTACAATATGGTAGCACTTTGACATGTTGGTTATCAGATGTTAGGTTTCAATCACACTAAATACAATTTTAATGCAATAATCATAAAGATGGTTGAATACTAGGAACTTCAAATATTGCTAGAAATAAGCAAGACACCAAAGTAATATATACCAAACATAACTTCATGGAATATTTATCTTTTGTTAGTGGGAATAACAAAGATGAAAGCATATATTCTTGCTGACTGACAACAAATAAATAACGTTGCAGGTCTCTTCTACCATACAACAGCAAAAAGTAGCTGTTAGTCAGGAAGCTAAGTAACTTGGCATGAGGAAGAAAGCATGTTATTCGATAAGCCAACAGCCAAGTTACTTCTTAGGAGCAGATTCTGCCTTACCACTCTATCATGAAGTAATTAACAATGAAATATCACAAGAACTTTTAAAAGTTGCTAATATTACATAGAGGAAAAACAGAATGGGGCAGATAATAAATAGAAGCTATAAATCAAATCTGTCAAGACATAGTGAAGAAGTCAATTTTTAATGAAATGCTTTTTAAAACTGAACTGACTGTAAAAAACTTGGTTAGTGTCTTTTGGGGGGGGTCAAGACAGGGTTTCTTGGTGTAGTCTTATCTATCCTGGAACTCACTCTACAGACCAGGCTGGCCTCAAATCACACAAATCCGATTGCCTCTGACTTTGAGTACTGGGATTGAAGGCGTGCACCATCACTGACGGGCTCAATTTTATATTTTTAATTTAATTTTGATTATTTGAGTCTAATTTTGTAGCTCTAGCTAGCCTTGAGCACACTATTTAGAACAGGCTGGCCTTGAACTCATAGAGACCTGCCTGCCTCTGCCTCCAGAGAGCTGGGATTAAAGGCGTGCACCACCACCTGGCAATTGGTGTCAGTTTTCAGCCCTTACTCATCTTCCCACCACTGCCATTCACTGAAGTGCTGGCTCAGGTACCATTACCATGTGGAGGCGAATAGAAGGCAGTCCTACGTAGGAAGCTAACGGCTTTCAAAGGCTACCAATGACAACAATTAACAGGTAACTCTCTCCATCCTATCTTCTATCTCTCCATGTCCACTGTCACCTCCTCAGTTTGAGTCCTCTTCTGCTCTTGACTAGTCTTGGTCTGTGGTAGGCAACCCATAGAATCATTGCAGACAAGAAATCCAATTTTGTTACTTCCCTGCATAACACAGGCCAATGCTATTGCTCTTGATATAGTTTCTGTTCTTCTCTTCTGCCTCATTCTGGCCTCTTCTTTGTTCTATACACTCCAACCACTGTGGCTTGAAGTTTCTGTTCCTAGGGTGTTCCACACCCCTTCTTACTACTTTTCAGCATACTGCTGTTCGCCTCTTCCCAGACCACAGAGAAAATACAGTTACTCTCACATAGAAAAGACTCAAAATATTTTAACAAAACTTTTCTCCAGGAATCCACCCAGTCACTCAGATACGGAAGTATCAAAAAGGACTCATGGATAATACACCAAACAATGCAATATAACCTTACAAGTCTGTCCTCTCATTTGGGAAAAGGGATTAGTTCTACGATTATAAGTAAAATGACATCTGATACAATTCCTGTCACCTTCTTTTTAAAAAAAAATCCTTATAGTTTTGAATTACCTTACCCAAGACCACTTAGAGAAACTAGCACATGTCTCAAGATGCCAAACTTGTAGTTAGTGCTATAAGATTTATTTTCTGTCAACAGTGGTATTTAGTATTTGCTGTCCATGACTGTCATGAAAAGAAAAGTGACATTGATTCTAAACTACCCAGAGGTACCAGAAACAGAAGAACATATGGCTCATACTTCCCTAGACCATCCATATTAACTCATATTCTAACATGTGAAAGTCTGATACAAGTTAAGGAAAGTAACTTCATATGGCAAGGACTCCCTTATGTCCAGATATCATTTTAAGAAATAGGAGTTTGTTATTAGGCCTCCATAAAAAATAGCTAAGGTCTATGGTGTATAAGGCTTTACCTGCTTGCAAGTACTCTGGCTGTAGAGTAGGAGGCAGGCCCTCTGGCAGTGGGTAGCCGTTCTTCCTTGCTACAATGAGATGAAATGCAGCACAAAACTCAGGCAAGGTCAGGGCTCCATCACAGTCAGCATCACTGAGTTCCCTAAAGATAAGAGATGTCACATGAGTACCTGTCATGCAGCGTCAGCCTCAAGCATGCACACACAGTTCCCAGATTCCTGCCCGTGGCCTGGGGTATCCTCAAAGTTTCCTAAGCAAACCAATGCGAAATCCCAAGGGTCACCCAGAGGAAGAAAACAACCTGATCTTTAGCAGCAGCATGGGTGACACTTTGTAAATGAAAGTGGAAATTCTTCAGGCTCTCTGATAGGACTGCTTTTCAACACTGAGACAAGGCATAGGAAACTCTAGGGAGAAAAGGAAAGTGATGTCTGGGGTTCCGAACTTATCTGACAGTTGCTTGATAAGTGCAGGCCGCACAGTGTGAAGAGTGCTGGAATTAATGCTGGAAAAGGGCCAAGGAAGTAGAGACTCAGCCACTAAGGAGTTCATTCAGAGCACGGACATAGGCACTTCATTGGGGGGTTGTCTTTTTTTCAATTTTAAGGGAAAACCTGAATGTTTCCAAACAGTATACATTTTGGTAGCAATTCAATCTGCATGAAAATGTCATCTTAGAGAGCTGGGCGTGATGGTACACACCTGTAAGCCCAGCACTTGGGAAGCAAAGGCAGGAGGATCAGGAGTTCAAAACTAGCCTTAGCTACACAGTAATTTCAAAGCCAGCCTGAAGTACATGGGACCATTTGAGAATATAGAGATAAGACACAGGATGGGTCAAGGGAAGAAGGAAGAGGGAGGAGATGGAAGGAAAGAAAGGGACAGAGAAAGCAAGAGAGCAAGAGAGAGAGATTGTGTGTGTGTGTGTGTGTGTGTGTGTGTATAGAAATACAAATAGGGGTTGTAGCCTGTAGGAAAGGGGGAAAAGACAAGACCTAGTAAACTGGGAACATTGGGGGCAGGGGAACAGTGGAAGGGGAGGGGGAGGAGGAAGAGGAATGGGGAAAATGTATAGCTCAATAAAAAAGAAAAAATAGAAAAATAAATACAAATAGGTTCAAGAAATACTGGATGCATCATATTTTAATATAAAAGCAGCAAGACAAACATGAAGGAAGGGGATCTTGAAAAGGCTTGTCTTCACTTCAGTCACCATCTCACACTAAAAGACACAGACTTATTCACTGAGCACAAAAAACACCCATTTGCCAAAAGAACTAAGACCCCTTAAGCACCAACATCCTGTGGTGTACAGACACAAGCATACTTGTATTAGGACAAGCATAGTGATAAGACTTGTATAAAACTGTACTAAAAAGATACTGCTATTGGAAAAAATAAAAAACATCTCTAAGGGAAGGTCTGTAATTTTGCTTTGGACCATTTACATCCTCCTATTCCCCTCAAGAGTCTTGCTCTAATTCAGAATGCACCAGCCCTGAAACAGCTGCTCCCAGGAGGGAGGTGTCTGGGAACTGCTTCAGATGCTGGATGGAGAGTATGCCATTTAGCCTTCATGCACTGTCTCAACAAAAAGACAGGAAGCTCACAGCTGCCAAAACAGACTATATTCTTTTTTAAATGGTCACATTTTTCCTACCCTTAAAATCCAACATAAGGCTTGTTGCAAAAAAAAAAGCCAGACTATATGTATATGGCTGAAGAACCTAAATCCAGCTCAAAATTCCAGCTACGCTGGCATGTACAGTATGACTGGAACAGTTTTTCAGTAAGACTGCACAATATATGGTATGCAGCTCTAAATTCCATCACAATTTTGTAATGTCTCATGAAAAAGCTTTACATAAATATTCCGATGTTTTAATATGTATTTATAACAGCATGGTCCACAAAGGCAGGAGTTTATGGTGCTGAGCATTTTCATAGATGCAAAGAGAACCATTTGGACCATTGCAACACAGCCCTCCTGGAGCTACAACTGTGGCAGGCCTCAGTAGCAAGGCAGTGCCGACACTGCAGCTGCACAGACTGAATTAGGGCCCAGCTGGGAAACACCTGCCAAATTTACAAAGTTCACAGGCGTCTAGAATAGACGAGTTTAACTTCGTTCCAAAATGTTCTTGGACCTTTTGTTCACCCTACCTTATAAAATATTATGAAGAATGGCTTTTCAAGGTCCTCTGGCTCCTTGTCTCACACTAGGTTTATATATATGAAGGATAGTGTCTCACATGTGCACACCTGCCTAGACTGAAATCGGGATGAGAAAAGAGTAATAAGCAGGAAATTTCTTGTACAACTTGTACGTATATGTGTTTGTCTGTGTGTGTATGCCATATGAATACAGTGCCCTAGGAGGCCAGAAGAGAGTGTTGAACCCCTGGAGCTGGAATTACAGGCAGTCAGGAATGCCATGAGATGCTGAGAACCAAAATCTGCCCCTCTAGAAGATCCGCCATGTCTCCAGCCTGAGGAAATTACTTTTAAACTAGTAGCTAATGCTTAGGGTTCATAGTGTACACCTGATACCGTTCATTGTGTTTTTCATATGATAATTCATTTAATCTTCATACCAACAAAACCCAAAGTTCTAGTCACTCTCAATCTGTTTTAAAAAACCATTCAAAGAATAAACCTCAGGGCTAGGAGTGTGACTCAGCAGTAGAGCACTTACCTGATATGTGTGATGCCCTGGATTCAAATCTTACCACCACCAAAAAAAGCTAAAAAACAAAACTTACTGGAGAGGCTGAAGCATGGCACTTACTACAAGACTGAGACCAGTCTGGGTTACGCAATAAGTTATAGGTCAGTCTGGGCTACAGAATGAAACTCTGCTTCAAAGCAAACAAAAATCATGTCTTAAAAAAATTGAGCATATGAAACCACTTGGCAGTAATCGTACTCACCAGATATAAGAGAGCTCTGGGATGGAGAGCTTTGATTTGGTGAAGAAGTTCTTGGCCACAGACCCTGTCAAAAGTCATTGTTTAAATAAGCCATTAGTTCCTTGTCTGGAGTAGCTTTTATGTGCAAGCCTATCACCACTGTTTCATTCAGCAATCTCTACCAAATAACCACAGATGCATTTATTCTACAAGCAACAACAAATCACAGGACTTTGATAAGAGTGGCATATGACTTGCCTAGCACCTCTGAGGGACAAAGACTGTTCTGCATTGTGGCAAAAATGAGAAATACAATTAAAAGGAATATCAAACATGTAGAAAGAAGCAATGACAAAATGCTCATGACAAATGCAAATCATATAAATTTCTGCTGCTTTGCTTCTACCAAAACTGTACATTTTTACTAAAAATTCTTAAGAAAACCTTTGAAATTACTTAAGTAAAAATTATGTTGAGTTTTATATATAAAGAATGGGAAAGTAATGTAGAGCGTGGAAGAATGGTAAGCACAAAAAATGGTATCATTAATCCCATCAGAAACAAAAGAGACATCTTGAGAAATATTTTTGATGAGATTTAAGATCTCTTGATGGCACTTTGAAGAATCCATCCAGGACTCTTTTCACTGTAATTTACCTATGTCAGTTAAAGTTGAGCTGCCATCCCACTGTCCCAGCTGTACTGAAATGCTAGCTTTCACTGAGCTCTTTCATGCCTCCAGCTCTCAGCAGCTTCACAATTCAAAAGTCTCATTTCTAATGCAAGAGAGCATTAAAGCACCAAGTTGTTCTAAGCTAAGCAAAAGCCTCCCAGAGTAATTACAAGTTTTCTAATTGGCCTTAAAGCAATAGGAATAGGTGGAAATCTAGTTGGTAGCAGAGTACTTGACTGCCATATGCAAAGCCCTGGAATACAAGCCCCAGCACTATAAAAACAAACAAAAAGCAGGCCAAGCATGCCTTGCACACCTTTAATCCCAGCACTCAATAGACAGAAGCAGGCAGGTCTCTGTGAGTTCAAGGCTAGTCCGTCCTACATAGCAAGTTCCAGAATAGCAAGGGTTACACAGTGAGACACTGTCTCAAAAATAAAACAAAATAAACTAAATTTTAAAAGGGGATATGATGGATCCTAAAGAAATACTTACTTTCTTCTGATAAATTATTAAGAATCAAAAGCAACGTATCAATAAGTCAACAAGCCTTCTCCCAAAAGGCATTCTGTCAATAATGCTAACACGTGACTCTTGGCTACCAATTCAACCAACCACCTTGTGCCACCTAAGAGACAGAACTTGTTAGCCTATTTATCAACTACGCTATAGCAACCAAGATACAGAGACATTCCCTTCTACTAGTCTGTTTTCTGCTGGATCCTCTCTCTTCAAAGCACAGTAGACACCACCCACTAGCTAGTGCTGGCTTTCACATAGGAGACTATTGTTCTATAGAGTCTCAGAAAAGTTAGGTGGAAGGCACTATGAAGCTGACAGCTATCAAGTTCAGCTGCGTCCCAGATGCCACCAGCTCAAGAAGAGAGCTAAGAAGAAAGCCTGGGTATGCTCTCCTTTGACTGCACCAAATGAAACATGCTCAGGTACTTTCACTCCAGCTCTACCATCAAGCCACCAGAAAAGAGACTCCATGTGTAAAAAAAAGCCCAGAATATATAAGTCTGGAGAAAAAAGTACATTAATAGTGTCCTAGAACCAGGAGGTGAAGACAGGAATAGGCAGTGACTGCTACTAAGTGGGCAGATTATAGAGGGGTGATGGAAAGGTTCTAAATTTAGGTTATGAATCTAGTCTGTGAATGAACTGTATGGTTTAAATACTGTTTTATGATATATGAATTATATCTCAACTAAGATGTTTATTTTAAAAGACATCAACTAAATGTCATTTATGAATTTCTTCATTGTGACCAAATTAAACATTTTAAAGACACCTAGAAGACAATCAGAAAAATTTAAACAGTGAAGACCTGATTATATTTAAGAATCTGTGACTTTTTCTCACATGTACCAGTGAGTTCTGGTTATGTTTTTTTAAGAGACCCAAAGATATATCCTGGAATATTTTTCAAATCAAATGGTCTGGCAATTATATTTCAAAATCATCAAGGCTGAGAGGGAATAAAGACAAAATTACTAGCACTTGACCATGGGGATTTGTTATAGTGGCAAGTCAAGTTACATCTACGCTTGAAATTTTGCAAAAATATAAAGGTTGAAAGAAAATAAAGAAAACTTCTAACAACTACTTATTCATAGTTGGCTAAATATCAGCATATGTTGTGAAAAGACTTAGTTGAGCAAAAGGCAAGGCTACCCTGTTATCAAAATACATAATCTGGATTTCTGCTGTCTTTTCTAAATCATAATGATACAATTCATTTGTTATTTCTATACTATTCTATCTTCCATAACACCATTACCACCAATCACCAAAATGATGTTTGCCTTTACATATATAAGAATATAACAATTATATATGTTATTTCATAGAAAATTAGTCTTACTCCATTCTTCACTGTTAATCTAGAATGATCAAAAACATACTGTTATTTCTCTAAAACTGAAGTATAAGATGAAAGTTTTATAAATTTTTCTTTTGGACTCTACTATTTCACTGTTTGTTTAGTCTTTTGCCTGGTAAAATGTAGGCACATGGGAATTAAATCAGTTCCTCTCAGCTTGAATTTTACATGAGGGCACAACAGGAATGCAGATATTCGATAATAATCCAGAAGAACTGACTGAGAAAATGCTGACCAGTTTTCCTCTCATATTCTAATTTCAAAAACCAGGGAAGAAAGTGTGGAGTCAAATAAATAAGGATGCGCCTAAACTTCTAGGGAACATAAAACATAAGGAGACCTGTGCTGGAAGGCTATACTATGTCTTTGCTCTGACTCTGGTACAATGAGTAAGCAATTTAAGGTATCCCTTGGCACTATCATCTACTATTCCAAGTGCTTTGGCTGAGAAGGTGCAGGGTCTGGGCCAAGTTCCCCCAAATTCCCATTTAGCCCTTTTGCAATGGCAGTATAATTTCCCCCAAGTTCCCCCCAAATTCCCATTTAACCCTTCTGCAATGGCAGTATAATTTCCCCAGGTCATTACCATTCTTTCCTGCATACACACATTTGGTAAGAAATTCCACCTTAGAGGAATACAAATTGGAATCAGAGGTTGTAATATTCATTTTGTAACAACTGATTCTCAAGATGTTCTCCATTATTCCCATGGGAACCATGTTCCAGGACACCATGTTCTCTCACCTGAAATGAAGGAACTCGGGTCTGGCTGGAGGGAGCGAAACTGATTGACATAGTACTCCCGCTGTTCTTCTGTTATCCTCCAGGGCTCATCTGGGTAATTACTGTTGTTGTCCTGCAGTTCTCTCTCCACTGAAAAGGACTTTAAAAACAGTGCTTACAGAACCTTCCTTTCTATGAGACGAGGTATGAGACTTAAACCCTGATGAGAGTTACTTTATATGTTTTTTCACAAGTATGTGTGGTGGCACATGTATGTGGAGGCCCAAAGCTGATATGAGGATTATTCCTCAATAGGTTACCACCTTATACATTGAGGACAGGGTCTCTCAACTGAACCTTGAGGTTTCTGTTAAGGCTAGCCTAGCCAGCCAGCTTATTCCCAGTCTCCACCTTCCAAGCACTAGAATTGCAGGCAGGCTACCATGCCCAGCAGACATTAAATGGGTTCTGGGGATTTGAACTCTGGTTCTCATGTTTGCATATCAAGTGCTTTATCTACTGAGCATCTCCCTAACCTCAGATTTTCTTCTGCTCTGCACAGAACATAAGGCAACAGCGATAACCACATAATGTTTTTTCTTGTTTTTTTTTTTTTTGAGATTGGATCTCACACTGCAATCCATGATTGCCTAGAACTTAATATGTAGCCAAATTTGGCGCTAGATTTTTCTGCAATCCTGCCTCATGCTCCTGGGTACTGAGGTTATGGGGTGAGTTATAGTAAGTGGGTTAATATTTTCTTTATTCTTGCTGCATTTGTATTATATAAATCCAGGAGTCAAAATTACCAAGTCAAACCCATGTCTCTGGTTCCAACTTGAGTAGCAAGTCAAGTCTCACCGAGTTTGTCCTTAACATGTGTGAGTTGGGAATATTTACTAAATACAAAGCTGAGTGATAAGAACTATTGTGGTATTGCCATCAGCAGGGTAACAAGAGGGTGCATCAAATTTACCACTAGAGGGCAGGCATGCCAAATTTGAAGATTTAAGAGCTCAGAAGTCCTCCATGTCCCACTCTCTCCTCCTGGCGGGGTAGGATAGGGGGAAGAGGGAATCATGGGTTGGAAGACAGATCAGGCACCATTGTGACCTCTGGTGATCTAGGCAGATGACACCAATTGGGAAGCTGAGCAATAGTGTAGAGACCACCTCAAATGCCTATTCCTGATAATGAACTTGATGTCTATAACCATCCTGGAGCCTTCATCCAGTGACTGATGGAAGCAGAGGCAAACACCCACAGTTAAATACTGAACAGAACCCAAGGAACCCAGCGGCAGAGAGAGAGGAACGAAGAGCAAATTGGCAAAGAATGGGCTGGCAAAACCAGCAGAGACAGCTATCTGAACAGGGGAGAGCTCTTGGACCCCAGACTGACAGCTGGGAGGCCAGCATGGGACTGATCCAGACCCCGTGAATGTGAGAGTCAACGAGGAGGCCTGGGCTACCTATGGGGTCCTGAGCAGTGGATCAGTGTTTATCCCTCGAATACTAACAGACATCGTGTGTCCATAACACAAAGAGGGATGCTCTCTCTGCCTGGACTCTTAGGGAAGTGCCTGGACCCTACCCTGAATGAAATGATAGACTTTAGATATCCCCTATGGGGAAGGAATTGGCAACAGGGTGGGAGGGTGGGGGGGATGGTGAGGGGGTGCAGGAGGAGGGGAGGGAGAGGGAACTGGGATTGACATGTAAAACAAGCCATTTAAAATAAAAAAAAGAGCTCAGAAGTCTGGAGACCCAATACAGGAGAAAACAAAAGCTAGAATAGGCTTTTGGGGGACAGAAGCATAATGGAAATGCAGAGAGAAACATCTGGGGCTTTGCTCCATCCCTCCCATCTACACCAAGAACACATATTTTTATCAAAGGCCATGTACTTGGAACCAAGAGGTGACCACAAAGAAGGCAAAAGGAAAGGGGGGGGGGGATACGGGACAGACGACAACAAGGGACAGGACACACACCACTCCACCACTCCGTGATAATTGCTGAACTGCCTGGTACTAAATGGAAGCTCCTGCTCCCCTGGAGTGCATTTCTTCTCTCTTGAGAATGAAGCCACCCCAACTAGTTACTGTTCATGATAGCCACGGCTGCTTTCTCCAATGTCATAAGCAACTACTTTTCCCTATCTGTATCGTTTCACGCCTGGGTAGTGTTAGTAGTTTCTTAATAGTTCTCAGTCTATTCTCCAGAACCAAAAACCATGTCTATGAGCTTATCTGTTGCTTTTTACATTAGTCCATCTCCTCTACCTGGCCTTCAGGACTCATAATACAAGCTACTCTTTGCTCACTTGGTAGGTTTCCAACTGCCCAAGTGCTCACATGTCTGATGGACCAAACTTAGCTCTTCTTCCCAAGAAACTCTTACCCTGGTGCCAGTCTGGTTAAATCCTCCTTTTCCATACTTCCTTCTGCTCCAAAGGGCCATCTCCATATCTCTACCATGCCCACACTCATGCTCACTCCCACAACACAGTCTATTACAAAAGTGAGGTCAGCAGCCATGTATGCATGAATGACCTGAATCATACCTGGTATCATCTAGCCAGGTTGGACTAATAGTGGGTAGACACACAATACACTGGCCTCTGAGATGCTTTGGCATAGAAAGTTCTTTTGTGAGATATTCATTCTTAACGATATAAATATACAGACCATCAAGCAGAGAAAGCAAAACCTGACCATATATATAACCAGGCCAGGATTCAGGGCAGGGACCAGGCGTAATTTAAAGCTATGAAAAAGCCAGAAGAATCTGTGAAATTGGGAAAGAAGTGATATTGAGAAAGGAGTGTGATGCATGCCTATAATCCCTGCAACCAGGAGGCTAAGGAAGGGGATCATGAGTTCAAGGCCAAGCTTGGCTGCATAGAGAATTCAAGTTCTACATAGTAATACTGTATCTCAAAAAAATAAGAGTAAGCAATAAAAGAGTAAGAAGGTTGAGTGGAGCAGTGGGACAAACGGGTCTAAAGACCCATAATAGAAGGAGGAGTATGAAGAGCAAGAAGAGAGGCTGTGTCTGCAAAGCTAACTGATTAGAACTGCAGGACTGTGGAGAGACCGGAATGTTGCAGGTCCAAAGGCTAGTTACCTTATCTTGGGCTAAGTTCTAACCTTCCAGAAAAGCTATCCCTTGCTCACCACCTTTGTGTGCAGAACTGATATCTTAGGACTAATAGTTAAAATCCTTTTGTAATCTATTTACTTAGCAGCTCACTAGTTTCTACCAATCCAAAAGCTAAGAGTGTCAACAGATAGCATCTTGAGCCTATAGAAAAGCTTCCCCAATCTTGCTGTAACTGCTTCTGGGATGTACCCACTAATATATTTTAAACTTGCCTTTACTATGGCTTTTTTGTTCTGTAAAACTATGAAAATATCATAAAACTGTTCCAATCTTGGAACATGGAATTTGGGGGTAACGTAAATCTGTGTTTCATGTTCCCAGGCCATGGCCACTCAAAATGGCTACAAAATAAACTATCTCTTATTCTCTTTTTAAAAAGTAACATATGAGTAGAGTTGGAGGGAGGGTGGAAGAAGTGACATAAATACATTACTCATATGACATTCTCAAAAATAAATAAAATTATATTAAAAATCAACTGGGCTTTAGGGAGTGTGGGGGAACTGCAGGAGGAAATGGGAGGTAGTTGTCATCATTTTGTTGTATACGTGTATAAAATCCTCAAAAATAAAGAAAAGTTTAAAATAAAAAGAAAGAAAAGTCTCTGAGTGTTTTTTTTAAGTTTGAGCTCTTTCCAGTATGAGCTGTCTGTCTTTCTGTACTTCACTTATTGTCTAATCCTTGTGGGAGTTTATGTGTTCCATATCTGAGTTATTTCAAGAACAGATAGATAGTAGATAATAACATATGGAGGAATAAATGACTTCCCACACTTCATGAAGGTAAAATAGTCCCCCAAACTGACCCATTAGAAGCAAAATAAGTTAAATTTTATTGCACAAACAGTGACGTGTTCATTTGTCCATTCAGCAGACACTTATTGAATATTAACAAACCCAAACCCTAATTGCAGGAAACATACTGACAGACAAACCTTCTTTTGCTGAGAAAGTTTAGAGCCCAGTAAAGAAGAGAGGCACGCAAACAATCTCAAAACAGTAAGGAAAGTGTTTTGATAACATGAGGTAGGTACCCTTGGTCTTTCCTAATCAAACTCTGGTCCCCACACATATCAGCATGAGTACGGGACTTGTTAGAAATGCAAGTTCTAAGGTCAAATCCCAATCTCCTAATGAACCAGAAGGCCTGTGAGTAGGACTCAGGACTAGATTTAACCCTCTAGGTGATTGAAAGCAATCTCAAGTATAAGAAGCAAAGTCACAGTATGCAGGGCAAGGCAAGCAAAGAGAGTGGCATTCACAAAGACATCAAAACGTAAAAAATGGTCATATACTAGAAGTAGCTCCATTTTTGGTCACATAAATACTTCCAGTGCATGGAAGACAAGGGTGGAGTTGCCTCAATACGGTCCAGGTGGAAAGCAGAGCACATAGGTAACAGACTTAGAGTGTATCTAGAAGACAGTGGGGAGCCACACATAATATTCAACAGGACAATCAGATAATCAGATTCAAGCACAAAAGGATGTTTTCATTGAAAATGACTTAGGGAAGACTAAAGACAGGAAAGATATTTACAACTATTTAAACAACTGAAGCCAGAGACAAATGCGGTTCACAGATAAGGAGGGCTAGGAGAGAAATGAGAGAGAACAAAACCTACATGTAGCCATCAGCGCAGAAGGCTCCACTCCAAAACTGAAATGACAAATCAGTGCCTCTTTCTCAGTGGCAAAGGGCCATCTTACTGCAGGACCCAGACACATAGAACCATCACCTCTGAGGTAATCCCCTCACAGCAATCAGCACAGTGCTATGAATAAGGACCTGAAAAGTCCATCACTTAAAAGAAAACAGCAAAGGTTGAGGGCACTGAAAAATGGGAGTGAACATCTGTGGCAACTCAGCCACCCAAGCAGAGGCCACAACCAGGAAAGGCTCTGCCTTCAAACACATCCTAACAAGCCTGCCTAGCTCAACCCTAGCTCTATTGGTTTTGTTGGCTGGGCAGAGATATTTGCTACTTGAGCCAATTT